CGAACCCAAAACTTAAACCCAAACATAACTGTGACCCTAACTCCATCTCTAACTTTGACTTTATTTTTAAACCTCAACCTCAACATCAACTTAACCCTGACCCTCACCTTACTCCTCCGTCTAATTTCCTCGGAATTTGCCAAAAGCCACACGCATTACGAGCGGTTCCTGCTTTCGTGTCCTGTTGAGGCGACGGTACAAGTCATCCTCACCATACCTACCCTGGCCTTCGATGTTCTGGAATCTGGAAATGAACACATCACTCATGTCAACGAAAGCCGATACAGTGTTTTTGCGCCTGCCATTGAAGAAGGCAGGTAATTTCCCCACACGAAAGTACTTCTGTGATCGACTTGTCTTAGCATACCGGGTCGGTCTTCTGCTCTAAGTAGGTTTTGGGCCCTCCACAAGTCTCCTTAGGAGGTTATCACCGACTCACCTCACCGCAAACCTCCATCAGAGACCGTGGTTTTTCCATCAGCATTTTCCGCTTTGCAGCTTCTACCTTCTAGTTGTCTCGCTTACTGCGTACTTGTTGGGGCCTTTGCCATCCCTAAACCCCCCGAAGCTACAACCTTAAAGATTCTGTATTTTGCCCAAGGGCTTGCTAAATCCCAGTCGGGCTACAAGAATATCCATCCTTCAGAAGGCCTGGAGAGCGCTCCAATGGGCAACAAACGAAAAGGGAAAATCTTGTTTACAAAGCACGTTGGTTATAGCGATTAAAACTAGTTTACAGTGGAACCACAGAAGGGCATTCCATCTAACCTTCCGTGTCAGATGGGTTTGGCGTTATCTCGTGGTTCAAATAATTACAGACAGGAAAAGCTTCGACGGAGGTCCAAGTTTGAGATCCAGCAGAATAATTATTAAGATTCAGCTACTGTGTTGCAGGTGATAAAGACACAACTTCTCCAGAAGCTTCAAGTCTTTATTTCCCGCAGACTAAGCAAAAGGTGGTCAATTTAAACACAACAATGACAACAGACGAATCGGCTACATAATTCGATCAAAAGGGGAAGTCTAGGGATCGATAAGTTCGCGATCTCGTAATGAGCGCTGGTATGGGAGTTCAGTGTTGTAGACAAGACACTACGCAGTATATAGGGATTAGATTCGATCTATGTATCCCTTTATTAAGGAATTTTTGTGAACTCTGCCTACGTTCCAGTTTATGTTCTGGCTAAATTACATTAATTATTACTGTCGATACAGGGGAAAATGCGAGTCCCAGGAAGTCCCAAGCAGTTGCTGCGGGTAACTTCGCTGCAATATTGGTCTGTCGGTCCATTGTTGCTTTCAGTCTTTATTATGAAAAACGGCAATTTGGTGAAAATATCAGGCGAAAAAGGAAGCCATGACAAACTTACCGATTCTTCGAGGCAGCCGCCCTATCCCTCTGCCGTCGGTTTTTAAACCAGTTACCGACCTGAGTTGGTGTTAGACCCGTCGCGATGGCTAGCTCGCGTTTCTTCAGAGGGTTCGGATAGGGGTCCTGCAGGTACCACTCCCGCAGCAGACTCCTGGTTCTCTCCTTGAAGCAGTGCGTCTTCTGTTCGCCGTCCCAGATAGTTTTCGGCAGGGGAAACTTCTTGCGAACTCGATACTTGTCCACAGGCCCAAGAGAGCGACCGCGCAGTCGTTCTGCCTCCTGGTAGTGAGCCTCCAGCCACAAGGCCTGCAACTTGGGATGACTACTCTTGGAGAAGGTGTGTCTCTCCAGAATGGAGTAGAGTTCTCGAAAGTTGCGTGAGTGAAAGGCGACCAATGCTCTCGCACGCAGAATGTCTTCGTTTCGATTAAGCACCTCCCATAAGTCCATCCTCTTGGGTAGGGACCACATGAATTGACACAGACGTTCGACATCTCCAGCATCTTCCAGATTTTGGCAAATTTGCATGATTTCCTGTGGTGTCAGACAGTCGGCGCCGACTGATGAAGAATCAGTACTTAGTTCAGATCGATGAAACGCGTAGGAGTGTTCAGTTGAGGGTGAAGTTAGCGGTGAGACTTTGCCCTCAGAGTTCAAGCTGGGCTCCTTTACTGGTCGTTCGGGAAAGGAGGCACCTACGGCGACATCGGAAGCAGAGGACAAATGGAGACCGTCGGGGTTGGGGAAGAAATTACCCAAGAAATCACTGGGGGAGGGGATATAGCCGCACTGAAATGACCTGTTAAGAGCGGCTCTAGTTCTCATAAAGGCAGTAAGCATGTTGTGTTGGGCCATAAGGAGGTTGGCGGTCAGTCCGGGTGAGTCGGTGTTCAGAGGTCTCGTTTGTCCAGCCTGTTTTTTTGATAATGGTGACGTTGAGTCGATCAAACTCAAGGTGGAAAAGGAGCCGGAGGACATTGGAACAGTGTCAACATCACTCTTGTCTTGCATACTTTCGTCGAACTTATTGCCGAATGGTGGGTGTTCAACTGACTAGTTGAGGAATAAGGAGATCAGAAGGGGATCAACGCCATTCCTGCATGAAGCTGCAGTCGCACTCGCCGCACAGATGCAGTTTGTCCCTTACCCGGGCAGCCAATCAGAAGCTCGCAATGGATACAGGGCGCGCGCACGCGCAGGGGAAGAATGACAGCGGGATGACACGCGATGCCCACACGCACGCGAAGTTCACCCTCTA